CTAAAACAGGACGATTTAAAAACAATGCAACAACCCAACCCTGTTGTTTCCCATCTACATGATACCAATAACTGAGTAGATCTTTAATTCCAGAAGTACCAGCCATATTTGATAGCATTTCAGACGCTTTTCACAGCACACCAGTTTTAAGTGTGTTTCAGGTTTCCTGCCAGAGTAAAAAGGCAAAGAATACTTCAGGACTATTGTATTTCAGAATCTCCTCCAGTGGGTGAACGTGTGCAGATTATCAGTTAAAGGTCAAAGAAGGATTATTAGAAATGATGCCAATAACTGCTTTCATATGTGGATGGGTGTCTGTGTGTGACAGAGTAGGTTTCTTAGCCCTTTATCGTGTGCTGGGATGGTACTCTGAGTTCACAAATACACACAATAAATGATTAAGCTAAACTTACATTCTTGCTGGTTAGAGACCCCGTTGTCACTTCTGGTTTCTCTTTTCTCTGTAAATGTCGCTTCATTTTTCAAAGCTTTCAGTATCCAGGGCAGAGGTTTGCTGATCGTGCAGGTTGTTTTTATCACCAGCCTGCCTGATGGTCCCATAACAGTGCACTCACACCTGGAAGTTTCGAGTCACAATCATTAATGATGTACTAGGATAAGAGCTGCTTTGAGGTTTTTGTCATTAAATCTATGTTTGGAAACCAAAGTCATGATACTATGAAAAAAGAAATTCTAAATAATCTACTTATTTACTATACTTTAAAAAAACAATCATTTAAATGGACCACCATGGCTATATATGAGGCATGTTACTGCATATGACACCGAGCAGCTCAAAGCAGCTGAATTCATTTACAGGCTCTGCTTTAATTTTTAAAAGTAAACGTTCTCACATTTTGGTGGGTGATAAAAAAAAAAATTTCTGTTCAGTTTGGAACCTTTTTTTTTTCATTGCCTGGCAAGTTTGGACTGCAGGCTGGCAGTTTAGCAACTCGACTCTTTTAACACGCAGCAATGCTGGGGGAAAAAGCATGTGAGTAGGAGTGCTTCCTGCATTCTAAATAGTTTTCATTTGAGGTGCTCTTTGGAAGTGATATCAAACTCTTATTTCAAAAAAAGTTAGAAATCTCTATTACAGCGCTCATAAATCCATGTTTTATTCACAATAGAATGCAGAAAACCTATCAGATGCTTAAACAGACACATTTTATTTAAAAATAATAATAATAAAACTATAAGCTGGGAATGAAAAAGAGTCTCTCAGAGAGGCAGAGTTTCTCAGAAGTAAAGATAAGCAGAGGTTCACCAAGAAGAAAGAAAAGAGGTGACGATCAGTAAACAGCAGTATGCGTTCATGCTGTGAAAGAGAACTGTAGATATGATTTTTGCTTTGGGAGTGTTGATGGAGTAGTACAGAGGAGAAGATAAATAAAACTGTGTTTTTGTGGATCTAGAGAATAGGATGGGCTTACAGATGAGGTCAGGCAGCATTCTCTGTGGACTATGATTTTTGCAGAAGGCATTGTGATCTGCAGAAGGTGGAACAGAGTCTGTAGAGGTGGAGGTACGCTCTGAAGAGAAGAGGAATGACAAACAGTATGTGTGTGGCTGAGAGGGAGACAGACGGAAAGGTGATCGTGCAAAAAGAAGAAATAGTGAAGATATTAATTTATATACCGGGAACTGACCATCCAAAGTAACAAACAGTGCATAGGAGAGGGGAAGAGGAGAGTTACGGGATAGCAGTGAGACCTGCTATGATATATAATTTGAAGACAGTGGCACTGACAAAAAGACAGGAAACAGAACTTGTACTGCTAAAGATACTATAGGCATCATGGACCAGAAGTCAGTGAGCCAGAATTGGGCGTTGAAGAAGGAGCTGCCAGGCAGGAGGTAAAAAAGAGGAAGACCTCAGAGCAGGTTGATGGATGCAGTGAAGAAAGATATGCGGAGGGTTGGATCCACTGTGATGAGCTGCAAATCAAGCAGCCAAAGGAGAAGAAATATGTCATATTATAAAAGCTGACATGTTTTTAATATAATTTCTATGTTTGATTGTGAATAAAATATGGGTTCATGAGATTGGCACATCATTGCATTCTGTTTTTATTTATATTTTACCACGTGACTACACCTGCAGCTACAGCAGTCAATGAATAGAATGAACTGCTGCTCCAGAGGCCTGACACTCAACTTTTACTTTAGTCAGTGATGGAGGACATCTTTTCAGTCCAGCCTGTCTGGATTGCCATCATTTAGAATGAAAATTCCAGTCTGCATTCAAGAGACCCACTTCATATTCAGATTCAGCTGAATACAATGAATCATTTATAAAGCAGAATTGTTTGTTTTCTCAAATACCTCGCTCGGACAAGTTGTCACGATGTCTGCTCCAAAGTAAATCTAATTTTAGTGTAAAACTCTCACTGCCCGCGCTCTTAGTTAATTATACCCTGTTTTCATTTTTTCTGATCAGAACGTGAACGGGCCCTGATCTCTCGCTGTTGTTTTCTCTCTACTTCTTCTCACACAGCTCTGTTGCCTTGGCCTGCTGAGTGAGATCAAAGAACGGGCGGGGGGGAGGGTGGAGAGTGAGGGGGGTCGTCATTTCAAGGGGGAGGTGCCAGGGCTTCCTGCGGGGGTAGCCTGTGTGAACGCTCCCTGAATGACAATGCTGCGCATCAGGGCCTCACTCCCTCAGCAGCGCGTACACACACACTCACTCACACACACACTTGCAGGAGTACAGCCTGGAAAGGCTGTATGGCCATGCAGCAGCAGCAGCAGCAGCAGCAGTAACCGAGACATGCCAGGGTGCAGAAAGATTTTTTTTAAAAAGTGTCCAGCCGTAACCTTCCGCTCCGTCTGTCCTCATCATGAATAAGTGATAGGCCAGCGTGTCATGTGTCATCTGACCCACGGCGTTGTTTCCGTGATTTCGCAAAATCACAGCCAGGCTTGTCCACCAGCCCCAACCCCACCCGAGCATTTCTCCACCGCCACCCACCTCTTCCCGACACACACTCTCTCGCGCGCTGTTAGTAGCCGCCAGTCTGCGGGAAGCAGATGACGAGCAAATCCAGTCATGCAGACATTATGACGTTGAAAAGGCATCTTGGAAATACTAGCATAACTCGGAGCCTACAGCTGGTGGCGTGTACATACATTATATGACCTCAGGATAAGACTGCAATCAAGCTAGAAGTAAAATAAATAACTTAATAACCTTTAGGGACTATGATAAAACACATAAATGAGTTTTATGTGTAGCATTTTATTTATTCACGAGATTTATTTTTGTCTGATCCATACTTTCCCGTGAACGACCGAACAAGTCCACCGACTCGCTGCTCCTCTTTTTACTTTATGTTTCGCAGTGTTTCCATTTGATTAGAACATGGCTGCATTAAACTGTAGCACCAATCATTTCTGCCTTTCTCGATAACATAATTGGCTAGTTTTTCTTACCTAATATCACCAGTCTGTGAAAATCTCCAACTCAAGCGAGAGTGCTGACACTCAGTTCCTTGCGTGCAATTTTCACATAATGACCAGTCCTGCATTTGCACACACGGGAGAAAATTAAACTCCACTGTGTTGCATTCCCTTTCCTGAAGTTTGGTGAGACTTTTTTGGCTTTGGCTTTCACCGTTTGCCTTCATAATCTTACCCAAAATACACCATATGGCCCACTTTCAGTTCTGCGCGGACTGTGTTGTTGTTGTTGTTGTTGTTGTTGTTGTTGTTTTGTTTGTTTTTAGAAGAGATTCAGACCTCCTAATGATGGGTGGGTACCTGCCAAAGAAGCTGTTAGAGGAGACAAACAGCAAGCAGAACTTGCAAATAGTTCTCAGTATTTAACAGATGGCAGCAGGTACAGTAACTAACCCACCCTGAGCAGTAATCTCCTTCCAAAGGAGTTGGGTTGGAGTCTGGTGCTTTGTAGTGTTGTTTCAGCACTTTGGACAGCGCCAATAGGTCTTTGGAAGCGTGTCAGCACCTATTTCAGGACCAAGGACAGCATCAAATTGCTTAAGTGACCAAACACCTTATTTTCTTTACAGACCTATATAAAACCTATAAATAAAAAATACCTTTAAAAATGACTTTGAATGGAATTCCTTCTTTTTCCTGCTCTGGAGAGGTGACAGCTTGGTTGGTTTAGCCCAAGCAAACAGATTGCTGAATCGTTTCAAAGACAACTCAGATGCCAGAGCCAGACTGACAGACGGCCTGGAGGAAGGGAGGATTGAAGGGAGATAAAAACTCTTTCAAATTGTCCTTAAAATAACTGTACGTTCACAAAAAGCAAACACTAAATTCCCAGCTCTCCCCCTGGCAATCAACATGAGAGGTATTATGCCCACAAAAAGCATCATCACGGTAGATTTTTTTGCTGTTGTTGTCCGCGGAAGTCCATTTGAGTTTTAATTTATTGTTAGACTTGGCTTAGTACAGGATTACATAATTGTTTGTACAGTTGGATGGGTGGGGTGGGGGTGGGGGGTAAAAAGTAGTTGCATAAGAATTTTTTTGATAATAAAATAAATAATGATCATCCTTGTACATACTGAAAGACTCCTACTTTTATTTGCTGGAAGGCTAGACTGAAATTGTCTGGAGATAAATTCCTTGTATATGCCCCAAGCTTGTCTGTGCCCATGGCAAAACCTTGTGCTCAGCCGGGTGGGTTTGAGTAAACAGTGAACGAGGCGAATTGGACTGCGCCGTTGGTGCTTTTGACACTTGGCTACTGACAATGGAAGCCTTCCGCATGTGTAAATTCCAGTGATCCTAACATCGGTGGTTTCATGATTATCATGTGTATAAGCTCGTGGGAAATCAGTCTTCCAGAAATCTGTCTTTTGGCCTTCCTGATGTTATCTTCACACACGTGAAGTTTTTCACTCACTGTGCTGAAAGTTAAGGCGAGAGATGCCGTACCTAAAAGTGTCGCCCGTACATCTCCGTCGTGCGCTATGGGGAGTGGGCTGGAGAGGGGGAGGCTCCGGGGAGGCGCCGTGCGTCGTGCGCTGCAAGGCTTGGCCTCCGATATGTGCGCGGCGCTCGGTTCCCGTTTGACTGATCAGATGCTCAGCGCGCGGCTAAACACCGACGGCTGACTAAACTCAGGAGAGCCACTGAAGCGCTCGGCTGGTCGTGTTTCTTCGTTTCCACGACTGTTCTCCACGGAAATACAGCCTCCGGACCCACTGCGCGTTGGCTCACGTCCCCCTTGGGGGTCGAGGGAGGAAAGAAGTAAAGAAAAAAAAGAACGATAGGGAGAGACTCCTAGAGAGAGAGAGAGAGAGAGAGAGAGAGAGAGAGAGAACAGACGCTGGGCTCTGGCTCTGCGGGGCTGGCCGCTTCTCTGTGGTTCGGAAAGCCTCGAGGGCGATGCTGCTGGGCGGGGATCTTACACAGTTTCTGCCCGGTGGCGGAGGAGAAGATGCGAGCTGCAGCTACAGAACACCCGCAACGCCACCGTCGTGTTTTCAGACCAAGAATTGATGATGGTGATGATGCTGCCTCCCCCAGCGCTCTTTTTCTGCTCCTCCGGATCCCTTTCGCCCGGGATTCTTGTTCTCCCGACACTGGATTATAGATGATTGCTGTGGACACTATTTTTTTCTTTTAATTTACATCAACTCTTTTTATTTTCCGAAGCGAGGCGCAGGGAAAAGACATAAATTGGCGGGCTGAGGACCGGTGTATTTTAAAAGCGGTTTTTTATATATTTATTTTTTCATTTTTTATTTTTTGCCTCTCCAAGTGCGTGCAATCACGCCCAAAATCGGCGACCGACGCCTTGGCGGTGAGGAGGAGGGGGGGAGAAGAAGAAGACGGAGGAGGAGGGGGAGGAGGGATGCCGCACCGTCCATCACCAAATATCAACAAATGTCACCAGGCTCGGATTTTGGGGAAGCCCCCCTCGGCTGGCGTTTGCGTGTAACCCGAGCAGCAGTGTGGTGGCAGTGAGAGGCTGCAGCGGGACTTTCTGCCGCGACATATCAAACGTTGCAGATCTATGGCACAAAATTAAATGAATTATTAAAAATTTCATTCGTATCTATTTCTATTTTTATCACCGCCGGGAAAAAAGGAGGTGGAGGAGGACTTGGGAAGGGGGGAAGACAACTGCAGATCCTGTCAAGATGCACTAGGCTGGTGAGAGAGGGGGGGAAAAGACGCAGTCTCAAACTAGGATAGCCTACTTAGTGGAGATGATCGCAATATTTACTCAAACGCACAGCTATGCATCTTTATGGCGTTATTCTAGGATGATCGGTGTTTTGTTTGCCCGATGAAATGCAAGAAGCGATTCGCTCTTGGAGAGGGTTTTCCTAACCAAAAAAATAAATACAAATAAACACACACAAACAAACAAACAAAAAACAAAATCAACAAAAAACGGAATGTCTTAGAGGGAAAAACGCCGATTGTGTGACAAGATTTTCCCTTTTTTTCTCACAAATTTCTGGCCACCACTTAAAACCAATCAGTTTTTTTTTCTTTTTCTACAAGAGAACTGATTTTCCAGAAATTCCAGAAATACATCCCTCCGTTTCCCATTCATATTCCAAACACACGATCACAGACACCGTGCGCTCTCCCTCTCCTCTTCACCCTCCCCTCTCCTCCTCCTCCTCCCCCTCCTCCCTCCCTCTCCAATCACAAATGGAGGTATCTTCTCGGCGCTGAAGATCTGGGAAGGAGACAGAGATAGAAGGAGAAAAGAGACTCGAGATAAGCCAGAGAAAGCCCATCTCCATTCTGCATGTGTGTTTGGAGCCGAGGCTGATGGGGTGGTGGCATGTGGAGGTGTCACTCTGAGGTTCCCCCCCAGCACCTTCCTAACCTCTGGCGTTTGGTGTCTGCAGAATGGCGCGTTTTGGAGACGAGCTACCCAACAGGTATGGAGGAGGAGGAGGAGGTGGTGGTGGCGGTGGTGGCGGGGGTGCCGGCGGACAAGGGGGCCCCGGCCGTGGCGGCAGCAGGCAAGGGGGGCCCCCCGGAGCGCAGCGGATGTACAAGCAGTCGATGGCCCAGAGAGCCCGGACCATGGCCCTGTACAACCCCATACCCGTCCGGCAGAGCTGCCTAACGGTCAACCGCTCCCTCTTCCTCTTCAGCGAAGACAACGTGGTGAGGAAGTACGCCAAAAAGATCACCGAATGGCCATATCCTTTCATAGCAATGCCAAGCAGACTGCCAAGGTATCGCCGCTGCTATGTTGTGTGGTGTGTTGGAGTGATTGGCTAGGTGTGGCCTAGTGTGGTGTGGAGTGGATTGGTGCTGAACTAGCCAATGGAGGATGGACGCCAGAGCCGGTGTGGTGATTTGCAGTACGATGTACAGTGTGTGTGAGAGTGTGAGTGTAATATGTGATGGTTTCTGTTTTCTCTTTGCAGTACTGTGAAGTGTTACATGCTGTGTTGATCTCCAGTA